GTATATTTTTTACTTCAGAGAGAATAGCGAAAAATCATTTGTATTTTTCTGGACAAGACAAAATCTTATCCATGACAATGAAAGAATACAGTCATACTATCTTTCTTAGGTAAAATGACAAAAAGATCTTGATCCTATTCCAGCTATTAGGAATCTTAAGTGTGATCCTGTGCTCTGTCCTCAACTCCCTGAAAACCCGTTCATATGCAAGTTGGATGGATCTTCTACCTCGTTGCTTTTTTGTGCTTTAATTTTCAGGCTAACAGGACAGTATGTTACAAAAAAAGGTACATGAATAGATTTTTAGGGACTGAAACAGGATGGAATAGTATCAGCAGTGATGGAGTAGGATCTGGCCCAAAGTGTCTAAATACCTCACATATACTATCACTAATCTCTCTAATAGGGCTCTGGCAGAAATTTAAACTGTCTTGCAAATGTTACATGCAGTCAACATTTCATGTTATTTACTAAAACATTTAAAATTATGCAATCAAAATATGGAAAACACTGCATATCTACATTCCATATAGATTAACTTTTTAAAGTGTCATTTGTATCGGTTTGGTGTCAGGTATTTAGATGTCCTTGCTTTGAGAGTGATTATACTACTGCATTGAAACTTCTGAAAGATATTAAGTCAGTGATACTCATCAATTCCTACCACTCCTTGGAGTTCCCAAGAAGGATACCCCATGCATCCCTCTGTTACAGAATAAACCATGTTCATACACTTGTAACTGACTTGTTAGTAATTGTGAAGCTTGGGGGAAGACCATGCTGTTACTTTCTCACCTAGAAGAAGCTTGTCCTGTTGTTGAGCTGATAGCCTTGCTTTCATAAAAAAACAGGAATTGTTATTGGGCTTTTTGTCTTTAAGGGATGTGTGTGTGGGGTGGAGTACAGGTATACCTCATGATGTTTGTGCCCTGGGCCAGCACGGAATAACCAGGCTTGAGGAGATGTCTGTCAGCACAGCCATCAATGATGAGGTTAATGTGTTAGCTGCACCAATTCTCATGCTGAGTGACAATGATAAACTCTATAGTCAGTTGTAAAGAAAGTGGTTGCAGACAAGAAAGTGAATCCCCTGGCTATTGGCTGCACCAGTACCTCCCTCAGCAGCAGTGGTGTCTTCTATTCATAGATTCATAGATGTTAGGGTCGGAAGGGACCTCAATAGATCATCGAGTCTGACCCCCTGCATAGGCAGGAA